ATTATAAGAGAGAAGGAGCAAACAGAAGAACACATTTCGCCCGTAATTAGAGACATGTATCAAGATCATGATTAGCAGCTATAAACTAGGAAGAATATTAGGACAGAGTTGTCTGAGAGTCTTTGTTTAGCTTCCTATATCTTACAAGGGTTCTTGGGCACAAGTAAAGGTTATTATTATTCTTATACCCATATGGATCTACTGATAGTGAAGTCGATGAAATATATTGTTAGTCGAGTTTTTTTGGGTTACTTCACAGTATCCAATTATATGAACTTTCTTATACCTTTAACAAATTTAGAAAATCATGTAGTTCTCAACATAAAGACTACAGTTATATGTAGTCTCTATGTAAAAACTATTCATTGATAAAACTCCTAATATAATATAAAGTGAAGTTAATTTTGCTAGAAATTTACATTGTCAGTTAACGTTAACTAATTGATTTATATATGTAGACAGTTGGATGCCAACTTAGTGGTCTTCAGGTAGCTAGTCCACTGTGAGTCCTAAATGTTTTGAATTCGAAGCATTTCAGACCGTGTGTCATCTCTGTTGAAGAGTTTCATATAAGGATGAAACAACGACTCCGAAAGATAAAAACTGCTTTATTTAGTTGTTTAACACTGTAAATGTTTACTTACAAGCTCGAGCTGATAAGATGTCAACCATAAATCTAACCTGATAGCAATAGTAGCAGGAATCGACAAAATGTGTTTGAGATAACCAATATCTTTCTTGTGACATTTTTGTTGACTACTTTGAGAAAACTTGATTCCTCGACCAGACATAGGGTTGGAGTCCTCACTTCTTCAGTAAGCAGTCCATTAACCTTTGGAAACTCGTTCTTCGTAAAACAATTTTTTTGATAATGGTGCGTTTTCGGGATGCCGTCAGGAATAAAAACCTAAGAAATTTGGTATGGAGAAAATAAAACTATAGCAATTCAACTAAATTTTGTTCACACAGATGAAAAATCTAAGCGCAGCAATACAAAACACACTGAGTCCAATACAATATCAGTACTAATGTCTAAAAAGCCACGTTTTTATGAAATTTGTTCAGTATAAGTCCTTGAGACATAGTGTATGTAATTAACTAACACTTTGAGTTTGTTATTCAATTCTGATTCGTGTTTTGTTTATACTTAGATATTACTGTTGAAGTCAACAGCAATAAACGATTTATGCAGTTGCAGAACAGTTGAGTAAGGCCTCATTTTGAGGAATATCTGAACACAGCAACACGTGACGCAAACTATATTTCCTGATGATAAAAAGACTACCAAGTGAAATCAGTGAGCAAGTAAGTGACAATTTGTGCCACAAATCATATAAAATATAATAAATCTGAATATTTAAAACTATATTTATAAATAAGATGACAAGCGTTTACAAATTTCTTTTTCATCTTTATTCTAGGTTCACTATAAATTTCAAGAGAATTGTGATAACACCTGGATTTCTAAGTACTTGTGTTACTGAAGAAACTGGTAAACTTACAGCTTGAAAGACTATCAACCCACAAGGGAAATTTACTCCATATGGACGATGAAAGTAACTCCAAATTCATAGTCCAGTTATTCGATAAAGAAATAGGAGCATAAATAGACCATAATCCAAGAATAGAATCTATCATGGTAACAAAATATGAGTGTTATTTTCCCTTAAAAGATCAAAACTTCCAATGAGTTGATTGATGCATCGTCCTTCTCATGGAACTTACAAAAATTTCTAAACCACACTAGTGAATTAAGAAGCAATCAAATTTTTCATGATATCACTTTAAGTGCTTAAAAACCTTTTTTCAGTTTCTATTATACTACTTAAAAGTAACCTAACTTTTGCTTTTAAATTTTTTACCACTGCTAGAGATCGAAAATAACAACGGTAGACAAGTTTTTGAAAATATAGATCATGATTCACATTAAAAGTTATGAGTTAAAACGATATTCGAACTAACTGCATCTTGTTTTAGCCTTCGAAATGGCGTCTTCACTAATTGTAAGTCTAGAAATGAGATAAGATGGCTTTGTTTCTCATCTAAACTGAATGTGTTTGAATTTATTTGCCTAAGTTATTATCCTTTTCATCTTCCTTTGTAAGTGGTGTAGTGTCTAATAACCAATGTTAAGGTATGAAGAGAGATTCTGTTACGTAAATTAGGCAAACGTCGCTCCTCATATTTATGGACTTATTTATTCAACTTGTCGCAATTGCTCACATATTATCTGTATTTATCCAACCAGAAAATATAAGTATGTACGCACTGTTAAACATACAGATATAAATTAGTTTTCTTTTTTCAAGTTAAATATTATCTAATTATTCATTTGTCACTACATAATATTGCACTAAGGTGGTTTTATACAGTGTTTACATAATTTGACAGTAATTTTCATTACAGTCTGAAAGCAGTTAAATAATGATTGAGAACAAAAGAACTGTACAACTTTAATGGCTAGAGTTTTTGAATACTGGGAAATCTAGACTTACAACATCATATGGTGTTTGGAATTTCAACTTCAGGTCTCGCAGGGGTGGAGACAATTTCTTGAATGTATCAGTAGCCACATTCTCAATTCCAGTCAATCTGTGATATAACTCTATTATAATCAAATAGTACCGATGAGGTACTGATTCACTCTCTACTTGCTGTCTCCATATCCTATAGTTTTCCGCCAGAAATTTGGGGAATTCGTTTCACTAATAAACATACAATCATTATCTCCAATGTAGTTTTTTGGAACTATTGTACAACTGAATGAGAAATCCTTCCATCCAATATCACTTCGTGACGAAAACTATAGTCATTTGTTTAATTGACAGAATTAAGAATTGGTTTGGTTAGTTGAAATTACTCATTTTTTTATGGTACATAGATACTATCATTTAAAATTATTTAATCTGATTCCATTTTTATGATTATTTTATTTTGATTACTTGATACTTATAAAATCACATTGCACTCTAAATATATTGACTTAAAACAGAATCACTCGGTAAATATGGTAATGATATTTGGTTGACAGGAAAGATCGCCAAACTATAACAAAACTATTATTGTACACCTAAGATACAACACATGTGAATTTATAGTTTTAGAAATTGTAAAATAATCTTTTTTTAAAAGTAATATATTCTTGATTCATAAACTATATTTGCTTTATTTGAGTACTTTATATTCCTCTACAGAAAATAATTATCACTACAATACATGAAATATTACAAGAAATCGTCAATTAATAAACATTTAAATTGTATATATTTGGAACAATTTATATACAATAGTTATCACGATAGTAATTATCAACCAGTTATCTTCAACAGTAGATATTTTCAGACATTTTTGTCGTTACAATATTCCTTACTGTATAGTATATTAAATTCATGAGTTCGAATATGATCACATTTCACTTCTACAAAGTATAGAGGAAGAGATAAATATACTAACCATCAGGGTATATCTGTCCAGTTTTATGGTATCTGTTATTGTAATAACATAAAACTATTTCATGATGGCGTGTGAGCCAATTGTATGGTTGATATACATTATTAATTAGTTAAACTAAATATAAGAAAAGTAAATTGAATGGTTGAAATCATGAGTCAATTGAAGCCAGATCACCATGGAAAACCTGAAAGCACTGAACGGCCATTTCTTCCTATTGTAGGACTCCTAAGCAGTACGCATCCACGATCCCACCTTGCGAGATTCCAACCCAAGACCTACTGGTCTGGAGCACTAGCTCTTAACCACTAGACAACTGAGCCCGTCGGCATCCAACGGCGTTAATGTCTAACTTCAACTAATCCACGAAACTGAGCATCACATCCACCATTGCCATCTGTGAGTTACTATCCCACAACTGACCCGGTTGAACTCCACTGGTCACTGCTTCTCACTAGAACTCCAGGATATACATCTTGAAGCCAGTCACTAGTGAGCATATGTTGATTAATATCAGGAGGCTATTTTATGGAGATTTTGGTAACTTCAATTGTTGGTCACCATGGAAAACCTGGAAGCACTGGACGACCGTTTCTTCCTATTGTGGGACTCTTCAACAGTGCATATCCACGACCCCACCTCGCGGGATTCGAACCCAGGACCTACCGGTCTACACTATTTTATCAATTAGACGAAAGGTGACCAAGAAGCTTTTAGCATCTTTAATTGTTTAAATACTTATTCATCTTAAAAAAAAAGTTCATCATTTTAAATCAACTCATATGTTGACCTAAGAAAACATATTTCTCTATAACAAAATATGTTTATACTTAGGTCAAATATTAACATCATAAATTAGATTGTTTATTCAATTATTCATTTTAGTCTACTCATAATTTAGTGTTACAAATTTGATTAAAAATTCAGGTCATTTCTGATGATTTCACAATTTCTAATTTTCACTGATTTAGTATTTTAGAAAAATTCAACATGGAATCTAATGACAAATAAATTATGTAGTTAACAATTCTCTTGATTCCCTTCCCTAAGACCTTTTTCAGAGAAAAAAAAACGAAAGAAATTATGACACTATGAAAAATAACCAGAATTTCAGTATAGAAAATTTTTCTCTTTTCATAAACTAATTTATTATATTATTGTGAAAAAAAACTTTGAATGTTTATTGTTTTACTTATATCTATACACATATACTTACATAGTTAGACAGTATACATGAAATCCCTTTAGTTACTTATGAAGTCTAACACATTTTAATATCAATTAAATTGTCACATAGAGAATAAAAATATAATTTTTTTTAAAAAACAACAAATTTCCCATCATCAATTTTCCTTACTTCATATTTAGTTATTGTAATCAGTTATAATGTATGTAAAAGGGGAATGGTGTAATAAAAAGCTATAAACTATAATTGTTTATATTGTGATTCAATATATTTTTTGTTTGTTAATTACCTCTTCTATTGTTTTTTTTAAGATAAAAGAATAGAGTTGCTTTTCGGCTAGTTGATATTTTACTTCATATGTATCATGATGAGTTTCTTTAAAATGGTTTTATGTATAGTTCATATGTACATAGTTAATAATAATAATAATAATAATAATAATAATAATAATAATAATAATAATAATGAATATGTTTACAATAATGAAGGTAACTTCTTAGTTTTAAAAAAAATTAAATTATTTAACAAACATCCTTATGATGATCATCTTCATGTTGATTTATGATACTTGGGATAGTTAACTAATTAATTAAAACCATACACAAAATCTGGTCATCTATATAGAATAAACACCTAAACAAACAAAATATGGGTGAGTCTAAGAAAGGACATAAATAAGAAACTCCTAAAATTATCTGTTTTCTTTCATTTCCTCTTTCTTTCTTCTCCTGGAACTATTACTATTACCATTATTATTATTACTATCGGCAATAAAGAACATAAATTTATATTATTATTATTATCATTATTATTATTATTATTACAGAGATGATGCCTCTGAAGTAATGGAATAAAAACCAAGCCTCTATCTAACTTTTCTTGTCTTATAAAGCAAGCAATCTATAAAACTGTCAAAAATCAAGCAGCTGACGCCGAGAAGTTCAGTATTTATTTTTTAAATTAGGAAAATAGTCCCATAATAATAACTATTATTATTATTATTAGCATTGATTGTAGCTAAGTAGTAAGATATTGAAAAACTGAAAAAATATGGATGATTTACCACGTATAGATATTGCTCTTTCTTTCTTTCATCTCTACTGACATTTTTCTTTCATATAAGATGCATAAATGCATTTATTGAATTATGTTACTCCAATAATAATCACATTAAACTACTAAATCTACAGTAACGTGTAAGTTTTATATTTTGTTTGTGAAGTTTAACCACAACTTAATTGACAGGAATAAGACTAATTTGTTTTTTGAACGACTTGTTTCTGTCCACTGTATGACCGCTATCGATCAAGTGTTATAGAACCGAGCTGCGTATTGTTTTGACGTAACCTTTTCCTAACCACGAAGGGAGGTGTTCACTAACTCGTTGGTTAAGTTGCCTGGTAGTGCGCCCAATAAAGCTTTGTCCACAGGAGCAACTGAATTCGTAGATACATATAGAAGTGGCATAACCAGGTAACTTATCCTTCAATTGCGGAATCACCATCGATCGGGTCGAATACGATAGGGAGAGGTTGACAGCATTAAACGTTCTCTTTACTGCTCTAGTCAATCTATCCCGTAATACATCGCTAGCTAAATCACCATTGAATTGCAGCTTCAAGAAAAGCGGTTTCTTATTAGCCGTCAGAGTCACTATTTTCTTGTTTTGTACCCGCAAGTGTTTCTTCAGGAAACCCAGTGGATATCCCAGTTCAATCAAAATATTATGAATGTGTTGTAACTCCCTATCAATTGTGTCGACTGAGCATATCTTAAGAGCTCTATTTGCAAGACATTTGACTAAGTTTCTCTTATAATGAAGAGGCAAAAAGCTTAAAAAATGTTTGTACTGGCTTGGAGAAGAACTTTTCCTATACACACCTCTGCTGATAGAACCATTTTCTTTTCTACTTAACAAAACGTCCAGGAAATTTAGTTTTTTATCTATTTCCTCTTCACATGTAAATTTAATAGCAGGATGTTTGTTATTAAATAGTTCCAGTAGTTGTTCTTTTCTAATGTTCTGATCGGCAATGATGAAGGTGTCATTAACGTAACGACGATAGAAATCCAGTTTATTGCTAACCTCTTTGAGAGATCCGTTTTCTAGTTTCGCCAGAAAAAAATCCGCAAGGATGGGACCTAGTGGCGAACGCATCGCTATACCATCAATTTTTCTATAATATGTGTTATTAAAGACAAGATGGACATTCATTGTGCATTTTAAAAGTAATTGTTTAAGACTGACCTCAGGAATTTCAATATTGATTTGTTTTTCCTGCAGTTGTTGGCACACAAAATCGATAGTCTCTGTTAACGGTACATTGGTGAACAGGGAAGCAACATCTAAAGATATCATTCGTTTCCCACTTAAATTTATATGTTCCACTTTAGAAATGAAATCGAAGACGTCTTTCACGCTTCTGTTGACGGCTAATTTGTGTAAGGGGTTTAGGATACGAACTAGCCACTTTGCAGTTTTACGATAAGGCGAATTATACATATCTAAAACTGGGCGAAGAGAAGGACCTGTCTTGTGGACTTTAGGTAAACAATATAGTCGCGGTGTGTTCTATCCAGTAGGCTTGAGTGAGTCATGTAAGTCAGGAGTAAGAATACCTTTATTTTTTAATTCCTTCAGTGAGTTAGTCAGCAATTTTTCTGCCTTCATATTTAAGTCCTTAATGTCGTTGAGTTTCTGAAATTTTGTTGGATCATTCAAAATCACGTTCATTTTATTAATGTGATCAGCTTTGTTCATAAGAACTAGCCCCCCTCCTTTGTCCGGCTTTCTTATGATTAGAGTATTGTCGTCTCTAAGTACATGTAAAGCACCTCGGTGCTGTTTGGTAAGTGGAGTTTTCACTGTACATTTACTATTTTTGTATTGTTGGCAGATGTCTACCAACGTGGTCTTAAACCTGGTTAGTTCATCAGGAGAAGTAGGCACCAAATCTATTGTTTGTGTAAATAAATTTTCAAACTGTACATTTGTATCTAGTTGGTTTATTGTATTACTATAGTCACAAAACCTAGGGCCGAGTGACAATGCCTCTACTTGCAATGTGTCTAACGTAACACTAGAGAAATTATGAACGTACCGCCCAGGGTCCATAGGAAATTTTCTTTTAGGTTTATGAGGTTCCAGTGACTGAATTAGTTTTGTCCCCAGTTTTCCTGATCTACTTTTTGCCACCGTGTTATTATAATCCATAAATTGTGACTTTATTTCCAGTGGTAGGTTATCGAGCATATATTCTCTTTGTGAACGATTTCTTTTTAGATTGTTTATGTGTAATTTTAATGAAACCGTTTGGTTAAGTGCATGGCGTTTGAGGGTTCTGGCATTTGGATAAACTTTATTCCGGCGTAAACATTTCCAATATATTTTAGGATATCTATCATTCCGTATACAATCATTAATAAATTCCAACGATGTTTTCGCTTCAGTGAGACAAGCATTAAACTTTAGGAACTCATTGAGCACCTTAAATACAATCGGATCCCCACGTGATTATCTAGACCTCTAACTTAACTGAAAACGTTATCGCTTATTCTCTTGTTTATGATCATCATACCAGACAGTTACCAAAAAATATACAAATGTACTCTTCATTGTCATGTTACTAATAAGTAGCATGATTCTATGTGTTGAAAAAGCTATTACTTCGGTGGACAAAATTCCAAAGCTTAGTTTTCATGTTTTTTTCACTTTTGATTACACACAATTACTGGCTCTTTATTTTTGCACGTATCTCCTCCTTAATAATTGAACTAATTCATTATAATGAATATAAACATATATTCTCACTTTCCAATTAAATATTCACTATAATCAGACTGAATACTTTAAGTTTAATCCCATCAAACTTATAGCCAGTATATTATCCGATATATATACGATTGAGTTTCATGAGTAAGTTTAATAACTTATAAATACAAATACAACGAAGTGACTATTAAATTAGTTCATGTTAAAATCAAATGGCTTATTAAACACTGAACAATAAAAACTATAATACTTTAAATACAAATATATGACTGTCAGGCGATATTTAAGAAATAGATCCAATCTTTATTCATGAAGCCATCATGAAAACGCTAAACTTCTGAATATACTTGAATCTTTGAATCATTAAAAACGTGCCGAAAACGTACTATGTAAATTCGTGTACTTCATTAGTGAGCTATTTACTACATATGATTCAATATTATAAAGAACTAATTTCGACCTGAATACCTAAATGGTAACGTATCTAATTGTAACCCGTGGTAGTCGAAATTTTTGGAAAGTTATACATTTTGTTGTTGTTGTTACATATACTGTTTATTGGTAGATTTTCAACAAAATAACCTTTTTCAATTACCTATGACATATGAGAAGAAATAATTTCATTATTCAGTCAATTAGTTATATTCATTAAATTACCTTTCTAATTTGTGAATAACACAATTTTGAAGTATATATATATATATGTCGTAATAGATGCAAACATTCACCATTTTTGTCACGTAACATTGTCAAATTCATTAATACATGCCTTATTTTTGGCCTTTGTGAAATATTATAATTATGGACTAATAACTGTAGAGCTTGATGATGAAGTTATTGAAAACACTTGTTCGCTCAAATATTCTTCATTTATGAATATTCCATAGGGATTTTTAAACTACTTATATTCATTAGTTATTACCCTATAATTTAATCATACTATTAATTTCTTTTCTTATAATAAATTACTAATCAATTCATGTTAATAATTGCTTAAGTTATTATATATGGTAATTATTATTTGAAATAATCTCAGAAATTGAAATTGAAATAATTCCAACGTTTCGTCCAGCTAACTTGCTTCGACTTCTTCAAGATAATGGTCAAAATTAGTCAAATCAAAGTTAATTAATATAACACCAACTCTTGATCATAATGTTTAAGTATAGTTTTCATTTATTTTATATAAATCACAGTTACTTGTGTTTTGTAAGTGTCAATTCATTAAATTTATCATAATTAATTTTTTTCTTTGTAGAAAGAAAGAAAGAAATAGATTAAATATTCACGTTAAAACTTGTTTAACTTTATTTTATTATATAAAATGAGTTAATCTACTGAACTATAAATCGGTTAAATATTTAAACGTTCTCAAATACAAAAAAAAAACAACCAAAAATTACACAATGTAACAGAATGAGTGAATCTGTTTATGCGACAAAATTAAATAGATTTACAAATCTCTGAGTAAATAATATCTCTTTCATTTCATTTTATGGCGAAAATTTAAAACAAAAAAAAAACAAACAGAAAAAATCTATTATATGTACTGTATTTAATTTGTCGTCATTATCATCATCATTATAATGATCGTTCAAAAATGAGATATGAATGTAAGTTACTATGGCATATCTCATATATTTGTGTACAATTGATGTTAGTAAATAAAGTAAATGTTGGATTGATTTTCTTTGTCTCTATGATAAAACATTTTTTTGTTACAATTAACTGTTCCCACAATTTAATATTTATTTATTTAATCATTTACAAATCAGTTAATAGTTTTTTTTTAA